AAATTTTTCCCCCCTTCTCACCCTGAATTCGAGTTAACCGTGAGAAATTCGTTATCGGGAGTGAAAATTTCATTCGAGATATCCGGAAATTCGAGATAAGCGAATTCGAGTTAAACGGAGCATTTAACATGGTGTCCTACGGGGTTCCGCCGGGACCAAGCTTTGAACTTCGAGATAAGCAGAATTTCGACTTATCAGGATTCGAGTTAACGAGTTTTCACTGTATTTCTTTGATTTTTCTCTCTTTCTCTTTTTAGTGGGCCTCCTTTTTTGAAAGGAAAGAGACCACTTATAGTCTTGTCCTGTCTGTCAGTGTGTCACATTTTGATTGTCCAACAATATCTTTAAAAATATTGGTCTGATCAATGTGAAAATTGGTAAGCTAGTAGATATGATCAATATACAGGCTGAGTTCATTTTGTGGTGAATTTGCACCAAAATCGGCATGTTTTTGCAAATTTTGGAATTGAAATTTGCTAATGGAGGGGAAGTCATGAGTACCTATGAGCCCTTCAGGATGTAATCACAATGTGCATGCGCGTACGACCCAGGCTTTGAGCACAGCACCATGTCAGCAGCCAGAGCTCTCAGTTCTCTACCAACCTTCGTGGCAGAGGGATGCAACCACACACAGCCCTCCATCCTCTCATCATTGTTTCATGGGCACTGTTTGTCTATTTTTACCAAATATAAATGAGAAATGAGGTTTTTGATGGTCAAAGACTGGAAAGAGATATCATTTTGTTCAATTAGGTGACAAAATGAGGGTTTCCTTAACTGAAAGGAGGCCCACTACTGGGCTGGGCTTGCTCAACTTGTTTTTATATCCCTATGTGGAATGAGGCAATCTATAAATGCTGCAATGCTTTGTATGACCTTGTAGGGATAGGGACAAGATCAACAGATTGGCAAGAATATAGCTGCAGTTATGAATTTGCCCTGCATGAAACACTGTAAGTGTCAGACCACTATTAAATGAAGAAAAAATGTGTTGAAGTTAATTCTTTCATTCCTTCATGGAGTTTCCAAGTATTGGGTAAACTCATTATCTGCAGGAGAATAAAGGACAGTAGAAAGTCAATTGTATCAATACTACAAGGAAAAATAGATTCATCTCATTTTCCTGTGCATCAAATCCATTATTTTCCATAAAAGCAAGTGAAACTAATAATAGTAGGTATATGCTATATTGAACAATATCATGAGATCATAAAAACTCTTTATTGGATGCAAAGGAAGGGCTCTCCTTATACAGCAGACCTTTGGAGGCTTATTCTAGCTTATTCTGAGATAACTTCCTGTCTGTAACTTCAGAAAGGTGATATAACAGGGATGGGGACTATCTAAGCTTGTGATTTTCATCTTATCCAAGAAAAGCATCTTGGAATGTACAGCATTTTTCACTTGACTCAGACACGTGCATGGGACATTCCTCATGCTTGAGTTTTGAAGTCAAGTGAAGAGGTGTCTAGCTGATGTGAAAAACACAGTAGATACATTCCTTTTACTGGATTTCTTTTCATGCCAATCTTGCAAAGTTGCATTCTATGAACTTCCATTTTTAGATGAGTGCAGCTGCTGCTGCTACAACACCTCGAATGAAGAAGTTTGCCATCTACAGGTGGGATCCTGACAAGCCAGGGGACAAGCCACATTTGAAGACATATGAGGTAGACTTGAATGAGTAAGTCATATGGAGTTTTTTGTCATGATCAGCCAGTCAATTCAGTGAACCCTGATGTTCTCGGCCAGTGGTTTTTTCAACTTTTATGTCATCGTAGACTGTCAAGATCATAATTAAGGATTGCCACCAGTATGTGGATCAGATGTTGAGAAACACTGTCTTAGACTCTGAATTTGTTTATATAGAGTGTTGATTCTTTCCTTCTGTCGACTTTTTTTTTCGGAGCTCAGCTGTGGCCCAATGGTCCTTGATGCATTGATCAAAATAAAAAATGAGATGGATGCAACACTGACATTCCGACGATCCTGTCGAGAGGGGATCTGCGGCTCCTGTGCTATGAACATTGGTGGCTCAAATACCCTTGCATGCATAAGGTGAGAACTTCTTGTGGTTAGAGGTGTATGAAAATTTGCTCTTCCCCAAAGAAATGAATCTAGGTTTCTGAATCATATTACTTTCTTTTGCAGCAAAATTGATGAAAACACAGGGAAGACAGCCAAAATCTATCCATTACCCCACCTTTACATCATCAAAGACCTGGTTCCTGATATGACTAACTTTTATGAGCAATACAAGTCCATTGAACCCTGGCTACAGCGCAAGGACAATCAGTTTGGGAAGGAGTTCCTTCAGAGTGTCAGTGATCGCAAGAAACTGGTATGATTCTCTTCCTTCTAATTTTGCCTTCATAAACAATTTTAAAAAAATAACACCAAGACAGAATTTAGTGATATTCATCAAATTTGGCACAGAAGCTCATAGTAAGGGCTCATGAAATTTTAGGTGCTACAAAGTTGTAGTATGGATTCCCACAGAGGAAGTTTTAAAAATACCCTAAAAGGGATAACTGTAAATACGATTAGGATGTTCTACTATTTGCCCAAAACAAACACACATGTGAAGGTCATTGATGAAATGTAGAACTGGAACTCCTCAATAGCACATTGAAACATCAAGTGAACCAAGGTCTCTGAAGATGATTTTACCAACTTCATTGACTGTTGAGGAGGGAGGTCACTCATAGTTGAGTGAGGTCAGTTTGTGGGGATAATGGAGTCTTGGTATTAATGCAGTCAGAGTGTTGGACTTGACCTGGTTTCAGAATAGAGGCAACTGCTGTTAATGGTTTCCAGTTTTGCACATTGATCACATTTGTGCCAAAATATGTGAACCTGATGTTTGTAAGGACCTGCCTCTGTCATATCTTCTGAGTGACCTTAATCAAATGGTCAATCAATTTGACAAATTTACCTCAGGAGACCTTGTTTCAACATGGTCTCAGTGGTAAACACCTAACAATGGTATAAAAGCAAAGCAGTTAGAGGAAACATGATGAGAAAATTTATGTTAATCTATGCACTGCTGGGATTTTTCAAGGTTTGTGTATGCTCAGTGCTTTTGCAGAAATTTTGGACTTGCACGATGCAGTGCCTGTTAGCATGAATCGTTAAAATTTAAGTTTAAGTTAAAAAGGACCTTGCACATCCAACTGTACTGGTACTGTTATAGTACTGAAGGAGTTAAAAGGGAAGAAATATCCATTGCTCTTGCAGCTCTAATTGCTATTATGAATATCATTCATAATATGATATTCATATGTTGCCAGACTCATTTTAAAAAAATTCCATCCTGGAACTTCTTAGCCCTACCTTATGTATAGGCCTACTTGTCATAAGAGTGGACTCATGGAGTATGCCTAAAGACATAAAAAATGACAGTGACATTCTTGAAACAATTAAATTTCTATAATTTTTTTTCCAGGATGGCTTGTATGAATGCATTCTGTGTGCATGCTGCAGCACCAGCTGCCCTGCTTATTGGTGGAATGGGGATAAATATTTGGGTCCAGCTGTACTAATGCAGGCATATCGCTGGATGATTGATTCTCGAGATGATGCTCTCGAGAAAAGGCTAGATCAGATGAAGGATCCCTTCTCAGTCTTCAAATGCCACACCATTATGAATTGCACCAAAACCTGCCCAAAGGTGAAGGAAGAGATGGCTAGTTACATGTAATTTTTTCCATTATTTTCTGTTTATATATTTCCAATTATTTCCTGCAGGGATTGAATCCTGGGAAAGCAATTGCAGAAGTGAAGAAGCTTGTGGCTGGCATTGCCCAGAAGGGTCATCCAGAAATAGACCCAAAGGGACTGTATGCATGATCTAGCTTGGAACATGGCTTGGTATTCTTGTAGAGAACTTTATTTCGTGAATTCTTCACTCATTGCTTTCTGTTCAAGGTGTGATTCTGATTTATGGAAAAAATCATGTTTCATTGTAAAATAAAGTACTAGTCTACATCAACTTTCAGTTCATTACACAGGAATGAAAATACATTTATGTATCTAAAAGCCGCTGGAGTCGCCATTCCCTCAACTGCAGGATGTCAATCTGTTCCTCAAGAGGTGCCATGGATGGCTTCACTTTGAATGTCTCACATCCTTTGATTTGAAAGGCCTCAAGCATGGGATATTCTTTGAAGAAGTCCTTCTTGAAAAAATCTTGAATGTCTGGCTCAGGATCTTTGAGTCGAGGTTGTGGTCGAACTGCTTTGGCTCGTAGCGCCATTTGTCTTTCTGCTCGAGACACAAGTTCTTGCTCATCCACATCACATCTCAACACTCCTTTGTAAACTTCCTCTGTCCTCTTGACATTCAGTGCTATTGCCACCTGCAAAAAATGAATATCGGTGAATGAAGTAGCATAATATGGTTATCTCTGTTCAATAGTGAGATTCATAGACAAAATCAGTGATAATTGTTCCATAAATATAAATATCCAGCAGCACTCCACTCAAGCAATTGGATCCTGTTTGATATCTGAGCATAACCACAATTTCAATTATGCTGAAATAATTTGCAACTTTAACCCTATTGCTGTTTGCCTGAGTACATATTCCAGGCTTAAGTAGCGGTAGACCAGGTATGCTCTTGGGCTCTGATCATTCACTGTTTCTAGGTTATTTCATCACTATTAATGCAGGTAACTGCATAAATAGTAATCATTAGGTTTCATGATATGACTTTTTTTTAAACAAACTATTGTTTTCAGGATAAAAGAGTCCCTATTGTATAACACAGGGGATGGTAGAAATTTTTTTGCATAATTGTGGAAGGGTCAACACATTTTTGTTCCATCCCTTTCCTTGCCATATCTACCAATCTACCTAAAGCAGCACTGCTCCACTCTCACTCATCTCTGATACAAAGCCAAAGCTAGAAGCTCCTAACTGGGATGTAATGAATAAGCAGACACCAGCTTTGAGGAACTCTATGAAGCATAAATATAGCCAGTTTATATATGAGACAACAAGACTAGAGAAGGTTAAAAATAGTGAATGTGAAACTTTTCTTCCAATGAAGCTATCCAGCAGCCTGTCCCAAAGGGGTTGAGGCCATGAAACTGTCACATAGCTACTAAATAGATTTGCTTCTTTGTCAGGTATTGGTGATAATCATGAAATGTAGTTCCCGCAAGACCATTAGCTCAACCAGTCTCAGAACCAAGATACAAGAACATAAGTAAAAGCCAGAGGATTAATAAATAGATAACAGCCTACATGATGGGCACATCTCCAGGCAAGTTAGATGGTTCAAACCCCGTCCTTAATGAGGATCATTAATGGCTTCTTGGAATGTGATTCTCAATGGGGGATCAGTGGTCAATGACAAGCAGGGGCTGCTTCCAAGTCTCTTTGCTCCAGGGCACAGAGTTCAATTAGGGTTACCCTGTCTGTCACCTTTCCCCTTTCCTCACTTCTGCAGAGCTCTCACAGTGGAGGCAATTAGAGAGGGCCTCTACGGCATGATCACTTTTATGCCAGCATTACTCCTCATACCCTGCACATATTTATTTTGGAGCAGTTTAAAAGTCCTTACCTCCTCATGGATTGGCCTCAAATAGGACATGGATGTCTCACAGGTAACAACTAGCAAACCATCATAGCAGAAAATACTAAGTGACTCAGAAAGTTAGAATAACTGTAATCCACAGTGTATCATCTACCACAGATACACAATCAACTTTTCCTGAATGACTTTCAAGCTGTGGATCTACTGTAACAATAATTTTCATGGGTACCAAATGTGTGATTAGCAAATGGTGGTGAATGTTGAGAGGCATACATTACACAGTTATTAACTTACACATGCATTACTTTCACTCAACTAGACAATTTAAAAATCCAAATGGCTTTGGGCTGGCTTTGTACACATTTTGCTAATAATTCCCCTCAAGTTCATTGAGGGAGGTCACCTTCAGCCAAATAGGACAAGAATATATCATGTGTAACCTGAATTACACACAAACTGACTTAATGTTCCAAGTCCTACCTTTTGGTTGATTTCCTTCTGCAGAGGCTGGGATTTTTTCACTTCATCTTGCACTGTGGCCATAAAATCTGGCTGCATATTCCTCATATGTTGCAAAGTGGACATGATCCTCAAGGTGGAATTCATTGTTGGAGAGGCTAGACCAGATTTAGTCTTCTGTCTCTCACCATTGTTCCGTTCTTCACTTTGGTCACACAGGATAACATGACCTCTTGGTTGAGGTTCTCTGACTACCTTGACTTTAGCCTCAGCCATGTCTGGCCTAAATCGGCCCCTTCGTGATGTTGAGGGTTTTTTCCCATGTGGATCTGACCCTGCCTGATTCCTCTTCATGGTGCAATCTTATCAGTCATAGTTCTAGACTTTGTAAGAATCCTAGATAAGTAGAAATACAAGTTTTCCTTGAGATACAACAGTTTCCACCACTTCACTACAAAGATAAGTCTATGCAATATAGAATATATCTATTACAGTGCTTATCGAATGAATTCACCCCCCTCTGACTATGGGCTCCTATGGCTCGCTATGCTTTCTTATGGAGGATGTGCAGATCTGTAACTACTTAGTATTTACTTGTTGATGCAGATGTCGTTCACGTCGCTGTCTCCTGCATCCCCTGCCGTTTCGATCGCTACGGGTAGGGAAGGCATACCGTATATTATCATTTCTCAGTCTTCCGTCAGACTCTCACGAAATCACATCCCAAAACTCATTTGCGCATCGATGACAATATGATGGTGAGAGAGGGAGAGAATAATTCGAAAACATATTCAGGAAAGGAAATCCTACTAGATCATCTCAAAGGAGCTGGACTTGAACACAGTCAACTCGACTTGTCAGAAGTATAAGAAAACAGGAGTTTGGAAGGAGAAAAACAGGGGGCATCGGAAGCAGCTTTCGAATGGGCAACAGATGGCACTCTGAGAAGCTGTCAAAATGATTTTTCTCCTGAGGGTAGGCTTTTGGACCTTTCCACTTTTTACGCCTGCCATTGTCTTGATTTCTGGGATGAGAGAAAGCTAGGATTATGAAATTTATAAATCTCTGGTGAAAATTTGACAGCTCCAATAAATTCAATCGATCGTTTCCTGAAGAGGACCTGTAGGAAATGGTCAATGCTGACAAGACGTTTTTTGTGATACTCAGTATCAGCCATTCCCAAAATCCTGAAGAAGCATAAAGTCACCTTCAAGGTTCGGGGGAAATTCCTGCAGGGAGAAATAAACCCGAAGTTATTGAGAGGAGGCAAAACTGTGAGGTAAATATTTTTTATTAAATGAAGACACTTTAATTTAACCACATTTTGACATCAACTGAACAGGTTCGCCTATGTCCTGAAATTCCTCGAGGCAGAAACTGTGGACCACCCAGGGTTCATACATGTTAATGAATCTCTTCAATCTGCATATTCGACGGAGATTCGGCAGAAATATTGTAGGAAAGTAAGGAACCTTTTTACTTAAGTTTTCCATACTCAGTACTGCCTCTCTAATCATAACCTGTCACGTGATCACGTTATCTGCAAAGTCAGTGTTTTAGTCAGAAAGAATTAACTTTCAAAGCTGATTCTATGAGGGCTACTTTCCCCGGGCCCAACTCCAAGGGTTGGAACATGGCCATGGATGAAGTAGGGATTGTCCTTAAGTCTATGTTCATGATAACGGTAAATTTTGGAACATTTTTGCTTGTACACACTGCTGAATGAACTGGAGGAACCAAGTACAATTATAATTGAAACGTGCGATTCCATGCTCATGGGCAAGTCAGGGATGAAATCGAAAGCGCCGGATAATCCCTATTGGTTCACTCCTCCCTACTCCCCTTCTCTAAATCCCATCGAGGAAATTTTCCACCTCATCAGGGGATCTACCATCATTTAGCCGCATCAACTCGTTCGTAGCATATGCCAGTATTGAGCTCACTGACTACAAGAAATACAAATATGCTTTGTCATGCACAAAATCTTTATTTGATATTTGTATACGAAAGCAGCCCATCCTAAATTCTGCACCAGAGGCTAAGCTGTAATACAGCCATTCGGTAAAGAGCAATTTATTGAACAATAATGCATTCAGATTTCACGTTCTCGATTTTGCAATTTTGGAATGATTGGAGATAGTGAACATTTCTTTGTGTCATTTGACAATTAATTAAATAAAAGTTGTTTGATAGAAAATAAAATGTATCCTCCATAAAGCCCAATTTTAGGATTTACGATTCTGTCTAGGATAATGTCAAATTTCGCGGTTGTGTTGACGACAAAACCTCATCCTAATCGCGGTGCTGGGCATTCCCTGATGCTTAATCATTCGAACTTAGTTAATCGAAACTGTTCCTGCTCATTGTGTCTCGCCCATGAAACGTACGGGTGGACTAGTTTTCATGGGGAGCTCCTTCAAGTTATCCGTGTTCTGGATTAGCGGGACTGGTTGGGATCGCGAACGCTGGTAACATCTTTTCATTGAATCTTCATTGGATGAAAAACAGATGTCACTCGTGTTCCACCACCATCAGCGCTCTCCCCCTACTCCAAAGGAGGGGGGGGAGGGTGAATTCATTCGATAAGCACTGTATATATATTAGATGAAGTGGAAATGCCCTCCGTTTCGACGTATTTTTGAGCGCCTGGGATTGACCCTCCCTTCTGAGGGGGGTGGGGGGGTCTCTGCACTGCGCCGAAGGCCAGCCCTTAAGGGGTCTATCTGTTAATGTACCATACCAGAACATGTATTATTAGAATGTCTCAAAACGCTTTTCCATCATACAGGTATGCTGATAAGCACTTGGTCTTTGTGGTTGATGAGAATAAATTCAATTCAATGGAGCACTTATACCAAGAGATATGACAACAGTGAATTCAGCATGGCAGCTTGTTGAGCGCATGTGAGCAGGCAAAGTGCAGATTCATCACAAGCCAAGTGGGGATAGAGTCGCCGTTTCACCTGCTCTGTGGCCTTGGGGGTCCGAACTTGAGTGCCACCCTGAGAGGTTTCCGAAGTAACGAGCGTACAGATCGTCTACGGTGTCCAAGTTTTGCCTTATCATCGTGCAGTCCTAACAGCTGAACTTGGACGTTAGACTGCCTGTTGCATCTGTTGAACATTAACGTTAGACTTAAACCTAACCTGCTCGTTGAAGATGTCTCGAGGAAGCAGTGCAGGTTTCGACCGGCATATCACGATTTTTTCCCCCGAAGGTCGTTTGTATCAAGTTGGTGAGTCATAACAAAAGCATTCTGTTATGCTGAATGTAAATGTAGGCTAGTGAAACGATGGGTGTAAGCCTATGGTTGATTTGTAATCTCTTTAAATGCTATACGTTCTATTAGGACTTGCACTTGAGCATTGATGTGTGGTAGGTCTTTAAATTGAGCTAGAAATTTTTATTTGCCCCCCCCCCCCCATTTTTCTTTTTTACTATCTTAGGAGCATGCGGTCAATGACTCTTCCAGAGGCCTTGGGTAAGCTGTAGGCCTATACTTTTTGCATTTGCCACCCTGCAATAAGCTTCATTAATTCATTTGAAATACATATTTGGGTTTAGCAAGGACTCCCCCTACAGGGGGAAGCAGGATAGACAGGAATACGGTGGTGTCATGAATTTCATATGAGGGTTTTGATTATTTCTTCTTCTTGAAGAAAAACTTTTATGTTCACATTCATGAGCTGTAGCTAATCTGGTTTTTGGGATTGGGGGATTGGAACATCCAGCAGACTAAAAGCAGACTTAGCATACAGTAATCAGTTTGGTTACGGTCAGAGTTGTATGGGGGTCATTTGTATTCTTTGATCATTTCTGCATTGTGGTCAGCCAGACAATTTTTTGAATCTCAAGCCATTTCTATGTGGAGAAGGATCCATGTGAAAATAGTCAAGGTTGACCACCAAAGAGACATGCACAAAGAGGTACAAAAAAAATGTTTCTTTTGCTATTTTTAGGAATACAGAAATAGAAAAGTTACAAGTGGTGATATTTATGGCCCACCCTGTGAACTTTTAACTTAATGTCAAAATGCTCAAAAACATGAAGAGTGGCCTGGTGTGCTACATTTTATTGATTTAATGCAGTGTGCAATTTGGGTCTGCTTCTGCAGGATTTTCAGTTTGTGTGAGTGGGGTTCAGTAACTTTCTCTCAGGTTGTGACATTATAATCACTCTCTTAACAAGTCATTCTAAAAGAAACTGCTTTCAATAGATACAAGTGAAAAAATGCTCACTTATAGCTGTCCTATGATGTACAAATTCATATTTTCATTCTAACTTTGACTGTTATTACTTCCTGAAACACACAAGAACCTCACTTGATTGAACAGGTAAATGATTTAACATGAAATGAAATGTTTTTGTCAAATCAGAAGTCCAGGGGTATGGAAAAATATTTTAAAAACATTGTAAGTATATTCTTGTGATTCCTGAGCATTTTCTCCACACATTATATACATGTTTAAATATCAACTGGGCCTCTTTGAATGGTTTCTTTGAGTTTGCTGCTTTTGGTTTGCCTGCTTTTCATATGTCTATAGTAATTGAAATCTGTATTTTCTTTTCTAAGGAATAAATATTAAATATATGTGAAATTCAAATGTTAAGAAATCTGGACATGGGATGCACTAGGATATGACTGTCATATCTTTAAACTGAAATTTTTATATGCTGAAGGAATGCCTCAGTCCTTTTTTCCCCCATTGTTTCAACTTCTTGCTCATTGCTCTGTTACTTCTTAATGAATTTTTTTCTTTGCAGAATATGCATTCAAGGCCATTAATCAGGGAGGGTTAACATCAATTGCTCTGAAGGGAGTTGATTCTGCTGTCTGTGTCACCCAGAAGAAAGTCCCTGTGAGTCTGCCATTCTAGGCCTATATGGTAAAGGTACCTCTAGTTGTACTTGTAGAATATCACCATTATCCCAATATCTTTCTGTGGGAAGTGAATCATTATTTTTCATAAGATATGGATGGTGTAAAGCCAGAACCTTTGCAGTTGTAAAAACAATGGTAATCATATGAGGTGTGACCTACCCACAGCTCGTTGGGTATGAGGGTGTCCCTCACCCCCCCCCCCCCTAAATACATCCTCAATATGCCTGTCAGTGTCACTGAACAGGAAGCCTGTGGTTGGGATCACATGCATACAGTGGTGGATGCAGAAAGTTTTCATAAGGGGAGGGGGATTCCCTAGTTCCTACCACACCCCTCCCCCCCAACCTACCACCACTCCATCCTATCAACATTTTCATTTTTCATCTGGGGTAAAAATTCAGATATCTATTTCACCAGCCCCAATAAAGATTAATGTAGGTGCCTTTTAAATAAAAAAAAATAGAATGCAAACCTGGTAGGTAATAGGGGGACAGTCGCCCCCCCCCCCCCCCCCCCCCCCCCCCCCCCTGGAAATAGGGGGGCAGTCCCCCCCCCCCCCCCCCCCTGGATCTGCCACTGCATGCATATTGGGGTAGATAGAGACACATTGCTCTCATTGATGCAACGTGGAAATTTTTACTTAATAAGCAGTAGTAAGGAGAGTGCAACAGGTGGTGCAAAAAGGGGCATCCTGTTTGAGGCCACTTGCATGAAAATGCTAGATTTGTGATTATTTTGTATTGCATAGAAAACACTCTAAAATTTGTGTTATGAAAGTTTTGAAGTCTCTAGATTACTTGGGCAAAGAGTAACAGTCATTGAAACTTTGATGAAATTCATAACTCTGTGCATCAGGAGGTAGTAATTTCAGTAGTACAGGACGGATGTGTCCCATTTTTTGCAAAAATGACTGCTTATTATGATAGCATTCTTATTCTTGGCTGTGCAGTTTCATCATGCTGTATCTTTTAAAAGAAAAGTCAATGCATTAAAGGGGTGCCCATATGCTTACCTAGTTTTTGAATCGACTGCCTGACATTACATGTGCTTGGCTTATCTAATTGTTGTTTTGATGGTCTTGTCTATTGGAATGATTTGTATCCAACATGGTGCCCTTGGTGGCACTTGTGGATAATTATTAGTATGTAAGTGTTGCTAGTGAATTTTCATAAAGTTAAATGGTATTTTACTCATAGCTTCAGTTTAGATAATTGGTAAGTGAATGGGTTAAAGGAAGGCCTGGGAAGGAAGAGACTCAATAGAACAGAGTTCATGATTTGATTGGAGACTATCTCTTTCCTTTCCAGTACTTATGATATAAACACACTAAATTCCGGCCTTATCTTCTCACCTGAGGTCTAAAGACACAATGCAATAAATAATGATGATGAGAACACAACATGAAAAAATAGCCTTCATCACTCAAGGGGAAATATTTTTAAGGTACTGAGACTGCATCACAATTCATATGTGGAAAAGTTACATTTTATGACTGTACTTTTAATTACTGTTGTTTTTTATTCAGACAGCCTAGACATTTTAAACTACTTTCAGGGAAAGTATGGGTTTAGGGAAACCACTTTCAGGGAATTTTTCATCATGTTTTCAGCAGTATTTGATTTTTTATTTCCCTGTTTTTCAAACTTTTATGTTTTAAAATTGCATAGATATAATATAAAAGTCTCATTTTTTGGTCAACCCAAATTTATATTTTATCAGAAAAGTTTCAATAATATATACAATGCACTCAAGAAAGCTGAAAGAATATCTTGTTGACCATAGGGGGAATTTTTTCAATGATATTTAAGCCTTGCCCTGTCAATGACAGAAGTGTGTTTGTACCCATGGGAATGATGTTGAAAAATAAAAATTTTTCAGAACTCTAAAAAGTTTTCCTTTGTATCTTGGGTTGGAAACTTTTAGTTCCTTCTTTGTGCATCTCATGAGAGCATGATGCATTCCTTGAACATTTTTCTTATGTTCATGGCATGATATTAGTGTAATTACTTGGGTTTCATAAATCCAAAGCCTGGTTACTGTTACTAGATTTGTAGAATATGGAGGACCTGTTCTGAATTAGAATTGTCTTTCTAAGAAGGGAACAAATCAGATTACTGGGATCAAGCTTTAACTTTCTGCATGAGCAAGGTTAACTTTGGCAACAACCAGTTCCATTTTTAACAAGACCACATCTGCTGCTTATGAGATTCTTCCACATGAATATATGTGTACATCTTCATGATGCCATGATACTCATTCTTACAGGATAAGCTGCTTGATTCTGGAACTGTTACTCACCTGTTTAGCATCACAGACCACATAGGATGTGTCATGACGGGAATGCCTGGTTAGTTGTTCTTCCTTGTCATTGTGAATTATTTCTAGACTGTCATGAAATGAGCTCTGATTTTACATTTTCTTCTTCCTTTATAATACAGCTGATAGCCGGTCACAGGTACACCGGGCACGTGTAGAAGCTTCCAATTGGAAGTATAAATATGGCTATGACATCCCTATTGACATGCTTTGTCGCAGAGTTGCTGACATTTCTCAGGTCTACACCCAGAATGCAGAGATGAGACCTTTGGGATGCAGTAAGTATCTTTTCAGCCATTTTCTCAACAGTCACTAGTCTGGACTTATATTGATTTGTATCTTCCTGTTAGGTATGATGTTGATTTCATATGATGATGAATTGGGACCATGTGTGTACAAGGCTGATCCAGCAGGATACTACTGTGGTTATAAGGCAGCCAGTGTTGGTGTGAAGCAGAATGAGGCAGCCAGCTATTTGGAAAAGAAATTCAAGAAACGTCAGGACTATTCCAAAGATGAAGCCATTCAGGTTCTCTTTCCATTCTTTTGTACTCTCCCCATGAATTGGTTTATTCTTTGGGGAACCAAGGAAAATATACGTTGACTGTTTCTTGGTTTGAACAGCACAGCATGGGGTTTGTTCAGTGATAACTGGGACTTTCCATTTTTACCCCATTTCACTGTGGATATGAAGAACCACCAAACCTAGCCAAAATTGCCATATTATTTTTGTTACATAGTAGCAAGGAAAGGGGATCTTGAAATACTATGTAATTTATATTACAATTTTCTTAAAATGGCATTCAAAACATTTATGGATAGTGCATGCCACATTGGCAAGGATATCATTATAAGGGAAGTGGTTAAGAGATGAAAATGGAGAACACATGATAAAGTATCAAATTGTTGGTCAGAGTCTGATTAATATGTATAAGAGAAAAGTCAGTATAGACAAAGAAAAATAGTCCAGGAAAAAATGAAAGTTTAAAGCAATTCAAGAATAAAGAAATAATGATAAAAACTGTTGATACCCTTGTTTTTCAGAGACAGAGCCACCTAAAAAAGATCTTGTTTCTCTTTTCTTAAACCTATCACTGAGCATCCTTCCTTCCTTGGTTCAAACAATAATCCTATACATCATGGAACAGTTGTATGGTTGTGCATGGTGGCAGGTATGCATGAATATATGGTGAGTACTTTTTCTCACATAGTATTTAATCTGAGAATACTTGTATGCATGTATCCTGCCATGCATGAAGTCTTGCACTGTATTCATATACAGGACTTTGTATATGGTATTGTGTGTTCACTATTCCACTCAATATATTTTTGAGCAAACAGGAAGCAAATGCCTGATATAATATGTAGGCTTATTTATATATAAACATTTTGGTTACAAAAAATACAGGATGTTCTGCTTAACATAGGGATTTTAGTGTTTGATAAAATTTGAACCAGTAGTCAGAAGTTGCTGACATTTTATCAGATATTAAGTGTCTAGGTTTTTGCTACCTACCTACCCTTTTGCCTAGGTTTTTACGACAAAAAAATTGAAGACAACTTCATATATGAAAAATAGTCACCAATTTATAATAATTGGTACAAATTTTATGAAGCACTAAAATCCTGAAGTGTCAATTGGGACACCCTATATATACAGGATGAGCCAGGAGTAATGACTCACTTTAAAATGCTATAGCTTTTGGAATGGTTGCATGTATTCATTGCATTCTCTTGCACAACCCTGGGTGTTTGCTTCACAAATAAACATTTTTAAATGACTACCTGGGGTTGCCACAGCTTAACTTTTATTGAAAAATGAAATATTTAAATGAAAATAATTGCACGTTGCAACAGCTTTCTTCAAATATTACATATTTTTCTTATTGATGTTTAAAGCACTGAAAGGGGAAATCCTTTTCTCATCATAGGAAGATGATATGGCCTACTTTCCAAATTTTTTTTATCATGGAAAGGCACCAAAGTTGAATACTGGCATAGCTTGTGAAACAAGAAAATTTTGAAATTATGCCAGACTCATCACAGTGCTATCATTCTAGAGATATAAGTTTTCAGTTTCAAAATGTTTGTGGATTGTATATTTTCGTTTGGCATACACTAAGCAGTTTGTATGTATGCTTAGCAAAGGTTTTGCTAGCATTAAGTGTTGGAACCTTTGTTTGTGCTATTGTGAGGGTTGGGACTTTGGGCAAGCTGTTGCTACCCTTTGAGCCATTTGCAGTGAAAAGAATAGAACAAAGCAGTTGAAGGCCATCTTTAATAACTCATTTGCAATGTTGTATTGCATGTCATTTAAATCAATTTAAGCCTCTCCCTTCATATTTATAGGTATCTACTGATCCTCAAAATGACTGTATGGAAATTCCTAAATGCCTCAAAAGTAAATGGTAAATTTATATTTTTTTTTTTCTCCCCTGAGAATGTAAGGTCTGCTTTTTCTGAATCGAAATTGTGAAACAGTTCCATATTCTTCAATTATTCCATAACTGCTGGGCAATGAGAACTGATTCTCACTCTTTCCAGCTTGCAATCAATGCCTTGTCAACTGTGCTGTCAGCAGACTTCAAGCCTACTGAGATTGAGGTTGGGATTACATCAAAATCAGAGCCCAAGTTCAGGTTTGTTTCTTCATCCTTCCTCCTCTCCAAGAAAGGAAATTTTGTACTCTGAAATAACCCTGAGTTTTTGCTCTTCCTAGAACACTGACAGAGAAGGAACTGGATTATCACTTGACTGCAATCGCAGAGAAGGACTGATATTGATATCAGCTTCAAAAACTTTGAACAGAAATCTTGTGTGGAGTCAATGTATTCCTTGCCTATCTCTGATTAAAGAAAACCCATCAAAAGTGGAAGGCATTTTTTGCATAAAATTTGCTGAAGAAAATGTGAATTTCACTCATTTCAAAACTTTATAGTTTTACTGATTTTCAAATTTTCTATTATTCTGCTGACATTTAAGAAGCTCCTATTGAATACAGTGTGAAACATATGCCTATGTCTGAAATTGGCTGTTAAAAAAAAGAAACCCAATTTTTTAAATCTGCACCATTTGTGCGTGTTAGAATATAGAAACTGGTATTATTGCATATACCCTTTATTCACCACTCCCACTGCCTAATTCAGTTAGCTGTGAACTGTCCCTATTATGAATGCATAAAAAAAACCCACTTTCAATAGGTTTCACATCTTCAGGCCCCATGCCATCAGCTCACAGTGCTCCAAGAGTAGCATAGTCCTAGCTAATTAGTTGACAGCTATATGATGTTGTTATTGCTTGGATGAATCATGGCTTAATGTGGAGAATGAGGCTTTCTATGTGCCAAATATTTTTCTTGTCCAGAAACAGGCATAATAAGCGATGCAACTAATGCAGGAAAAGAAGGAAAGATTTGAGGAAGGGATTGTGACAGTAGGTGGGGACAGTGGAAATGGAAAATGTGCCTGCCTCACTGGAAATAGTCAAGGTATATTTGGTATCCTGAACCCCCTTGTACAGCAGCATCTCCTGCCATCTGAAGGACCTCTATATAGTAGTAGCACCGTTTGGTAGCACCTGTCATCTGAGTCCCTGAGTCCATTGAATGGAGCCACATTTTATGGCCCTTCAAAGGAAGATGGGGCTAATAGAATAAGGGGGGGGGGGGGGGATAATGTAAAAAATAGAGGGAATAGTCTTTGTTGTAACTGGAAGTTTTTTAACCAAATGTAAGCTTAGGTATTGCTTGTATCAACAGAGTAAATTATTCAGTTATTCTCAAGCAGAAAGTTGCCATTAAGTTTCCTACTTTTAAAAGTACATTTAAATTATATAAAAAATTAAATTGGATCAAAAGTCATATCATTAAATTAAAAGTCAAATTTAGCCAATTTTACTAACTTGAGCACTATATTTTGCTAAATGTGTTCTTTTGAACTGAAGTTGTGCAGATCTATGGCAACATCCTTGGTATAACTTCACTGCAGAGATCAAGTTATTGTTTCTGATTAGTTTCATGTGCTCAATGGTGCCTTTCTAACTCAGTGATGGATGGTAGGGACTATTGCAGTAGGCAGTCTCTCCTCCCCCAAGTTGTGTTACATGGAACAAGGACAAAAAAACTCAAGTTATTGCCTCAGAAATACAGGGTGTCCCAAAAGTCAATGCACCTGGTACATACATCAGTTGTACAGTGGGTTTTGGGACAACCTGTATAACTTTCAGATTCCTAAGTTCTTTGAAATGTGGATAGCAAACTTTTATTTAATTACTTGAAACATACACCTATAGACTGTGGCATCACTGTTTTTTTTACATGGTGTGACCACTGGCAGGAAATACTTTGGTTTTCCAGTATCTTCCAGATGTTATTGTTAGGCTTGCAGGATCCCTGTTCTCATCAATTGTCACTGTCACATGGAGCAGTGTAAAAGGTGTAAAAGGCATGACACATTGCTCATTTAAAAATTTACATTTAAATTGTAAGCTACGAGGTGCATCAAGAGGTTCTCGGCCTCACCCACAAGCCAAGGATACACAGCTTTAATTTTAATATAAATCTTGAATGTTATGAAAATCACACTCAATGACACGTTGCCAACATGTGACATTCTAATACCGGATTCATGAAAAGGTTCTTCTTGGCGTCAAACCATTCTTGTACAGTCGGCTTCAGCTCGTTGTCACAAAAATGCCTTTCTCAAAGGTTCTTTTTAGATTTGCAAACAGTTGGAGTCATTTCCAGACTTTAAGCTGAGTATATGGCTCTGACTCACTATTGTGTTTGCAGATATGAAAATATGACTTCTGAGAAATGCATTTTAATGATTGATGAGCTGAAGTTGACCATACAACAATGGTTTGAAAGCAAGAAGAATCTTTTTTATGAATCTGGCATTAAAATGTTGCATGATCATTGCTAGCCTGTCATAACTCTCAGCTCTTTTGCAGGCAGACACCTGATAAGGTCCTTCCAACCAGCTGGATCCGCAAACGCCTTTTGATCTTCAGGGCATCTGTCCTTAACCCTTCCGATAGAATGTATACTTATATTGACTTAAATAAAATCACACCTCACTGACTCACGAAGTAAAATGGCTAGGATCCTATAGATCTCACTCCTCTTCAGCTCATGTAACTGCTATCTTCAATAGTTATCATGATATGACATTTTCTTACATAAACTATTGTTTTTTAGACAAGCAGAGCCAATTTTTATACGAAAACGTATCAGCCATCCCCCCTGTGTTGTATAACAGTCAAAGGTAAAAGGTTATCTCCTAAAGATAACAAACCTCAAGGGAGAGATCCTGGGGGGGGGGGGGAGCAGCTCTCTCTTAGGCTGACTTCTCCCTCATAGCCATAAGTCACCTTCTCAGGACTAAGTCATTAGCTTCATGAGAGTCTTGCTCTCTGTCAGCCCTTATGTCGGGAGGATCTCACCATGGTGGACGAGAGTCAAGTGTTGGTCCACCACATGACAGCGGGGCCCACCATACCTTCAGCTCCTATCTTTATAAAAATATATATTCAAACTTTTCTAAAAAGTTTCTAAAAAATTTGATTATGTTTGTTGGTTCAGACCTTTGGTTCCTCACTTCTAGGAATGATCACTTCAGAATGATCATTCTGCCCCTACCCCTATGGGAGGAAAAAAAATTAGAGTACCCTGCAGTGCAGTAAAGTGGGGACCGTTTCCTGGAAAGTTTTCAAATTAGTAGGGTGAGGTGGGGCAAAAGTATCTGATTGGAAAGAAAGTTCTCGGAATTTCTTGAATATCCAGTACAATTTTTTTTCCAGAGCATGCTAGAATGTTCTGCGTGTGTTTATAAGTAGGTCGTGTCCTTCGGCATACAACCGTATATTATTACAGCCCTGGTGCTCTCCAGCCATGAACCAGCCCTACCCTCTTACTAAGGAGCAAGTTCGCCTGCTTCTTCTTTATGACTTCCGAATCAAGAAGAAGGCAGCCAATTCCATCGCTGACATCAATACCGCGTTTGGCCCGGACACTGTGTCCAAGAGCACTGCCTATGATTGGTACAGTCGCTTCCAGAAAGGAAATGAAAGCCTGGAAGACCAGCCACGCACCGGTCGTCCTTCGGAGTTTGATAACTCTGCCTTGCAGGAGGCACT